GAAATGAAATATAGATTTAGCAAGTATCAGCTCAGGAATATTGGAAAGCAGTGTGTTAGCCACGTGGGGGTTCAGGAGTGGCCCAGCCATTGAGGTAGTAAGGCATATTAAAATAACGCTGCATGTGTGCCTATTCATTTGTGAATCTAGAGAACTCTGGAGGGTGGTGAGAAGGGCAATCACCCACCAGAAGCTCAGAGTGACCGCTACACTACTAATTTCAGAAATCTGGGATAATATAATTATAAATGCTAATTCTATGGCCCTACTTTCAACCCACCAAATTAAAATGTCCAAGTAGAGAAAATGAGTGGGAGATACCTTTCCATGTAGTTTTCAAAATTCTGAAACTTGTGAAACAGTGTTATTAGGTTGAAAAGAGATTTTTTAAAGCTAGTTAAATAGTATAACAGGAAGCCTTAATTCACTAATACAAATAGTTAAGAACTGCAGATCAGCTAGCTTGCTAACCCAAGGCCATTACAGGGGATGCAGAGCTAGAGAAACAAAGGTCAATTAAGTGTTCTGAGAATGTGTCCCCGTGATGTCTGACTTAGCCTCCTCTGGAGAAACTCCCACCAGAGGTCCCAAGGACTTGTGAATTAAATTCAGTCAGATGGTCTGTTGGCTCAGATAAGCATTCACACTGGGTCCCAAGGCCACAGGGACCAGAGACTATTCTTGTGAGATTTGTCAAACCTCTGCCTGAGATCTGCTTACACATATTACAGACATTTAAAACAACCAATTGTGTGTGATTACCCACAACCCTCTCCTTCCCCCCACCCTTTGCCTATAAAAACCCTAAGCTATTAGGTCTCGAAGTTGATTACCCCTACCTCCTGCGTGAGGCACTTATCGACCCGAAGCTTCGTATATTAAAAGACCTGACTCATGTTATTACAGCAAGAGGTCTCTGGAGTGTCTTTGGGGTCACATCCTTCCTGGGTCCCCTTGGGGGAGTCTTTCAAAGTAAACTCACTATTCTTTCCCTTCTACTGGAAGATCAAGGCAAGAGTAACTTATTTAATGCTATTTTACCTCATCTATCCTTTTCTTATTTTAGGTTTGAAGTTAGAATTACAGACTTCTTTCCCAAAAGCATTTCATCCGTCTGAGTTCTCATCCCATTCCCTTTTGCCTTCTTTATAATATTCTGCTTCACTAATCCTCTCATTTTCTATAACTTTCAGTTCCTTGGGAAGTATAACTGCAACCTTGGCAGAGGTGTCACACTGTCATTTGGCACCATTCCCCTTTCAACCTCCAATCTACTTCCCAATCCCCTTTCTGTCGTCTTACTTCATGAACAGAATGCATCCCTGTGTCCATTGCCTTGCCGTAAGCTTAGACTCAAAGCCCTATAATCAGACTTTTTCTGACAAAGGTTCAAAGAACCACACTGCATGTCAACTACAACCTTTCCTATCTCAATCTTCATCCTCATCTCGCTGGATTATGCCAGTTTTAAAACTCTCCAAACCAGAGATCCCAAACTCATTTACAGACTAGAATCGAGTAAGAATTCCAAAGTGCCGATGCAGGGACCATACACCCAGGTATGATTTAACTGTCGTGGGAGTAACCTGAAATCTGAGTTTTTAAAAGACCGTTTAATGATTCTTTTATGTAAACATGCTGGAGAACCAGTGATCCAAACATTCTAATGACTCGTGGAGAATAGAATGCATTATTTATGTTAAGTATTATAATAAAAAATAAAAACAAACTGCCTAAAAGAAGCAGGAGTCTAATAAAAGAACCCTACATAATGCTGAGACTTCAAGGAACCAAGTCCTCTTTAACTAAATAAGTGTACCTGAAAAATTCATGAGTTAGAAGGAAGCATCCATCTATTCACTTTTGCCTTGACAGAAAAAAAATTGAATTGGGGTACCTTTCTATTAGCATAAGCCACAAGTAAGCCTTTTTGTAGGTTTCCACTCTGAATTTCACATAGCCAGAGTAGTCACAGGAACTTGAAAGAGAATTTAGTTGAAAGTTGGCTCAGGATCAAAATGTCCCCAAATAGTGGGGACATAACAAACCTCTTAGAGAAAGCTTGAATTTGTTCCAGGGATGGTGCGATCCTAAAAGGCCGTAAATGTGAAAAATGTTAGTATCTGAAAAGAAAGTTATATAGTAAGTGATAAAATCTGTCAGTAACACACTTATATGATGATGTGTTTTCTGGGTATATTATATACTAATTCACATAATCTTTAAGGTGAAGTAGCTAAGAAAAAACTCTGTGTTACACAAGAAGAAAACAAAGCTCAGAGAAGTGTGGCTGAGTTACACAACTATACAATGTACAGAAGAGAATGAAATAAGTCAGGTGAGGTTAGGGCATGTCCCTAGCACTGTGCTATGAACTTAAATCTAGGATGTCAACATTAATGGAGTCGGCAGGAAGAAATAGTTAAAGATAAATTACGAGAAGGCTAAAGGAACTTGTAAGAGCTACCTAAGTGCATATGATGACACTAGAAAATGGTGGTAGATTTCTCTTCATAAGTAACCAGGGAAGACAACAACAGAACACCATTCAGGAGCTTTAGAAAACAGTATCACATCAGAATTCTACATACAGGGAGAATATGGAGAAAAAATGTATTTTCAATAGGTAAGATATATGAAGTGGAAATGTCTGGTTTCATTAGAATCTCAGTTGTGTCACATGATGGTTTTCTGGAAGCTGTCTTGTGAGAAGACATTCAAAAGGATGTCTTGTTGAAGCAGACACATAAGAGGGCATGTGACCTTTGCTGGAGTGGATGCTTCAGAGGGTACATGATGTTTGGAAAGAATATAAATGGAACCCCACCAACAGTGAAAGGATGCTCTTGCATAGTGATGCTATGCAACGTTTTGCTGGTCTTCTGATCTTCTGCTGGCCAGGCAACACTTCACTGGTCTTCACTGGCCTTGCAGTGCTATGCTGTTCTCATTTCTTCATTGGTCTTAGCTGGTCTTTATCTTATAGACAGCAATACACCGAAGAACTCATGATTTTCCATCTGAGTCTGGCCAATTCTGCTGACTCATGCCAATTTGGAGGAGCCTTGTGGTTTCTGCTGGATTGTACTACCACTACTGATTCATGCTTGGTGTTTGCTATTGGACTAGACTGCTGGTATCCTGACAACAAAGAGTGGAATTGCCCTAAAGAACTACATCTAAACAGGTCCACAAACCCCTTTTCTTATAACCCTCTTTCTCCCTGACTTCTGGTTGGTGGGCTAGAAGGGAGTATTTAATGAAGTGTTTAAGAACCCTAAATAAAGTAGGTTTAGAAAAAAAAAATCTAAGCCTACAGATAAGAAAGAAGATAGCAGCAATAGATAAATACCACAGCAAAATATAGAAGAAAATTGGGAGGGTAAAGAAAACAGACACTAAAACTTAGATCTAAATAAGTAAAAACTATTGAAGTATAAAATCTTAAAATAAACATAAAAGATCATTTTCTTAAGGTACAGCTAAGTATATTGACTATATAGCAGTGTTTATGATTATTTTTATATGTATATTTAAAAAATATCACAATATATGAAGTACAGTAAATGGCAAATGAAGTTGTATTGTTGCAGAGACCTTAACTTTATATTACATAGTACAGTATTAGTATTATTTGTTTGCTCATTTCAGTTTCCTGTATCAGAAGGTGGCCTCAAGCATGTCATGTAGCAAAGCTGACTGTGAACAACTGTTCACAAATGTTGAGAATATGGAACACAGAATATTTGAAGCATAGATTATGCACAAATCACTAATTAGGAATAAAGAAGGTATTGCCACATGCTGTAGCCAAACTTAAAATGTAACAATGGAATACATGGTCAAATTTCCCACATTGTACAACTTGTTTCTTTTCCCTAAACCCTTTAAAGATTTCTAAACTGAGCTTTTGCCAAAAGTCGAGAATGAGTACACTCAGCTGACTGAAGTGTTCAGATGACGACTGACTTGCAGATTCCATACAGGGCAGGCAACTGACTATGGTTTCTTTATTCTATATGTTTCAGCAGTAGAGAAAAGAAAAGCTGGGATCAGACAACGGAGGTCACAAGCACACAGGATTGCTGAGGAAGAGCATTGTGTCACATGACTGTAATAACAGCAAGACTTGGAGGAAATGCAGCCAAAAGCTTAACAATTGGAACAGTACAAGAACCCTGATCCAAAGATCAAAAAGAGCATGTTTCAATGCTTCACTAACACAAGTGCTGGAAAGACAAAGATGTTATAGTGAAACAAAGAATCTCAGAGATCGTGGCCTACTCATTAGTTGCACAATCATCTGACAATAGAAACAGAAATATTCATCATTATAGTGAACAACCCATAGCATGCTACAAGACCCAGTGCAGAATCTGAACAAATAAGGGATAATTGTAAACTGGTGTGACAGATTTAATAGTTACCTAAAATACAATTATAGCCTCTAACTTACTGAGGGAAAAGTAGGTTATTCTAAGCAAACTATAAATGAAATATAGTCCACCTGGTAAATTTAGATTATGTAGTCATATGTGATATCCTTTGATAGGAATGAAGATGACTGAACATGCACTAAATATATACCCACAGAATCACATGCAGTAAAAATAATAATAAACACACCTGTTGTGAAAGAATTTACATCACAAGAACTATCATGGCTCCAGATACATTCATCTACAACTGAAGAATTTCTACAAGGTTCCTATAATTCATAACTAACCACTGCGAGATGAAGCATGAACCTAGACTCTCTTCCTACAAGAGACTGAGAAGACGACACAAAGGAAGACGACAGATTGTTACACTAATATGCAACAGGAAGATGAAGCTGGTGGAAACTGGTCTCTGTACAACATTAGTCATTCCACATTTCACATATCAGGTAGGTTCCTCTGTCAGATATGCTGACTATAAATTTTAATAATTCTTACGTTAGCAAATACATTAACCACATCCTTGCCAAAATAAAATAATATTTAATACAAGTTTCTTACCTGTCTCAAAAGCTTCTCAATGGCTGACATCACCATAAGGCCTCTCCAGACAAGTGGTGCCGTCTCTTCAACCAAAAAGCCCATTGACATACTGCAACAGGAATACAGACCAACTGCATTTGTACACGTTAATAGTACTCTTCTCAAAGTACAGAACTTTAAAGATACACTTACCAAGCAATGCCATAATTCAAAAGAGGCCTCATTAGGTTATCTGGAATAAGATGGAAAAAACTCTCTGTTAGAAGAGTTCAACACTGCACATACGCACTTTCTTCACTTTAGACACACATGGTTTGTAGACCAGTTAAACTGAGCTTCATGAACTTATGCATTACTGCTTACATTTACTATTTCTTTGAGGTTAAAACACTTAAATCTACTTTCAGCAATTTTGATGTGCATAATAATGTTGTACAATAAATTCATTGAACTATGCCTCTGCCTAAACGGTACGATGTGTCCTTTGATTAAGAAACCATGTGCTCTTGAATTAAAATCCTTCCTTTGCTTATTTTCTTTGCCACTTGCCTGGTTAGACTCCCCTTGGAAACTCTGCTCTGATTATGCTGAGAAGGGTTTCCATGGAAGCTTAAGGACAATGGGAGACCCACCCTGAATGTGGGCAGCACCAAGCACTGTGCAAAGTCCTAGGCTGGATAAACAGGAGTAAGAAGAGACCTCTAACATCCATCTCCTGTTCCCTGACTGTGGCTGCACGGTGGCCAGCCACATCACACTCCTGCTGCCACACCTTCCTCACCACAATCAACTAAATCTCCTCATACTGTAGGCCTGAAGAAACCTGTCCTCCTCTGAATTGCTTTTTGTCAGGAATTCTGTAACAAGAATAAGAAAAATTACTAATACAATCCTTAGCCTCTCATCAAAATCAAAAACTATTAGGACTTCATCTCTCTTCCACATCAAACCTCTCTGACAGGTCTTGTCCTACTACATGCATTGTGCCGGGATTTAACCTGAGAAGTCCATCTGAACCTACCATCCCCCCCACCCCCAATGCCTGGTTCTGTCCCAGGTCCAGCATCCAGTTTAGGCAGCACCACTCCCAATCTCCAAGCTTTGGCCAGGGTACACATTACCTTCAACCTTCAGACTTCAGCCAGGATATACATCCTGCTATCAGCAGAGATACAATCCCACCATCTGACTTTATCCTTCTTCTATCATTCCTACCTCCAGGCTCAGCCATCTTACAATGGGACCCAGTCCAGGAAGCCCGTCAGTTCCTCCCCAACATGAACCCACTCCAATACCCAGATCTAGGATGCACACCTACTATGGTCAGCACAAGTAGCCATCCCAAAGTTCTATAACTGGAGTAGCCACATCCTTTATACCAGACTAGTCCCTTGGATTCACTTGACTTTATCACACCCACACCATATCCAACCATCAGGCCTGCCCTGTCCTATAAATGCTGGGCTCTGTTCCAGACTGCTGTGTTACTTTTAAACACAGAACTAACAAAAGAAGTCCATACACCTAGGTCTCATTGCAGAAGCACAAACAATATGAAAGATCAAAGTAGTAGTCCCCAAAGCATCCACCATTCCTAAAGAAATGTTCTGCAATGAGAATGCTTAAAATACAGAATTTAAAAGAACAATCAGGGACATCATCAAAGAGTTCAAGACATTTTAAGAAGACACAAAGAAACAACTCAATGAATTTAAAAAGAATAAATTTTTTCAAATACATATGCAAATGATGACCAAGACAAACATAAGACTAAGTGAAATGACAAATAAAATTCAGAATTTGAAAACTAACTTCAATATATGACAGAAATACTGAAGAGAGATGGCTCAAACAGGAATGTAAATGGAATTTAAAACTCAATGGCCCAATGAGAAGATGCAAGGGAAAGCTTAACAAGTAGAACAGATCAAATAGAAGTTAACCAGGACTCAGAACTAACACAGAGTAATTAGAACACACAAAGCAAAGAACATAAATGTTTTTAAACAAAGGAAAGAAAGATGCAGAATTGTGGATCACAATGAGAAGACCAAATCTTCAAATTACAGGCATAGCAGGGAAAGAAGAATCCCAAATCAATGGCATAGACCAGATGTTCAATGAAACAATAGAAGAAAACCACCAAACTAAGAAAAGACATACCAGTACAAATACAAGAAGATCATAGAACACTAGATAGACAAGACAAGAAACTTCCCACAGTACATCACAGTTAAAACACTAAGTATACATAACCAAGAAAGAGTACTGAATGCTGCAAGAGGAAAAAATACAAGTCACACATAAAGGAAAACCCATCAGTATAACACCTAGTTTCTCAATGGGAACTTTGAAAGATCATAATTACCAATCTAGGCTATTGTAACAAGCAAAACTATCTGCCATGGTTAAAGGGCAAAGAAAAACTTTGCAAGATATAAACAGCATATAAAAACCTTACATCCACCAAACCCTATGCTCTGAATATTCTACTTTCTCCAATTTACAGGTAAACTGGACAAAAAAAATGAATAGAGAAACATCAAAATTAGGTAAATACCATCTTTAATTGTTCAGAACTATTTTAGCTATCCTGGGTTTTTTGATTTTCCATATGAGGTTGAGAATTATCTTTTGAAGGTCTTTAAAGAATTGTGTTGCAGTTTTGATAAAAGAACTGCTGAAGATATCACCACCCCTGATTTTAAGCTGTACTACAGAGCTATAGTAGTAAAACCCACATAGTATTGTCATAAAAACACACATTGATGAATGAAATCAAATTGAAGACCTAGACATAAATTCAAAAAGCTATGGATACACAGTGGAAAAAAGAAAGCATCTTCAACAAATGGTGCCGGTCAAATGGATGTCTGCATGTAAAAGAATGCAAAGAGATCCATATTTATCATCTGCACAAACTCAAGCCCAAGTACATCAAAGACCTCAAAATAAAACCAGCCAAGCCGAACCTAATAGGAAAGAGAGACAGAAAACAACCTTGAATACACTGTCACATGAGACAACTTTCCAAACAGAACACCCATAGCACAGCCCCTAAGATCAACAACTGATAAACAGGATGTCATGAAACTGAAAAGCTTCTATAAGACAAAGGACACCATCAAGCAGACAGAAAGGAGGCCTGAGTAATAGGAAAAGATTTTTTTACCAACTCTACATCTGATATAGGTCTAATACCCAAAGTATATAAGGAGCTCAAAAAACTGGATACCAAAAAAACCAAATAATCCAATTTGAAAATGAGGTACATACCTAAACAGAATTACCAATAAAGGAATCTCCAGTGACTAAAAGCCTTAACAAAATGTTCAACATCCTTAGCTGTCAGAGAAATGCAAATCAAAACTTTGTTGAAACATGTGAGAGTGGCTAAGATCACACATGACAGCTCAGGCTGGCAAGGATGTAGAGCAAGGGGAACACTCTTCCATGGCTGGTGAGAGTACCATGAGAAACTAGTACAACCACTATGGAAATCAATGTGGTGGTTCCTCAGAACACTGGAAATCCATCTACTTCAATCAGTCTACTTCAAGCCACTCTTGTGCATATACCCAAATGACCTTCCATCCTACCACAAAGACACTTGCTCAACTACATTTGTAATGACTTTATCTATAAATAGGCAGAAACTGGAAACAACTTAGATATCTCTCAATACAATGGATTATTTACTCTGGGTAAAGGGGAAAAAAGACATCATATAATTTACAGGCAAATGGATGGAACCAAAAAACATCATCCTAAGTAAGGCAATCCAGACTCAGAAAGACAAATATTGTATGTATTTACTTACAAGTGGATATTAGCTATTAAGTAAATGACAATCAAGCTACAATCCACAGGCACAAACTGGTTAGGAAAAGAGGAGGTCTCTAGGGAGAATGCATGAACCTCCCTGGGATGGGGAAATAGAATAAATTTTGTTGGTGGACTTGGAAGGGTGGAGACAGAGTGGGAAGGAACAAGTTCAAAGAAGAAAGGTATGGAGAGAGTACAGAAAAATCTGCTGGAATGGCGGAGCACTGTGGGCACAGGGTCTAGTGCAGTGGAAACTTCTGGAATCTCTGAGAGTGACCCTAGTGAAGACTCCCAGTACAAGAAGATACAGAGTGTGAACTAGCCATTTTTGTAGCCAGGCAAGGCTTCCAGTGGTGGGGCTGGGTTGCATTTCATTGACCTGTGAGCCAAAGAGATTCTGTGGAGATCCCTAAACAACCCAGGCTGATGCTAGGACAGAAGGTCACTCTGAAAACTGACATCTGAGCCCAATGCTAAGGACAGCATGCACACAGTTCATTGAATATAGAGGTCAGGCTGCTGTGGGCTTGGAGCCTTCCCTCTGACATGCTAGTCTATTTGATGTATGGAAAGAGAAACCTGGACGCCAAGTCAAACACAAAATCCTCCACTTACAACCTTTCCTGCCTGTAAGACGTGCTGAAGCCATGGTGGCCCAGAACTAAGGGAATGGCCGCTGATGTTTGATTTAACTTGAGTCCCATGCCATGCCACAAGAGGGAGCTCATGCCCTACACTGCCTGAATGGCCTGAAACTGAGATTGGATAACCCAGAGACCTAAGGAAGAAACAGACACTACAGACAAAACAAAACAAAACAAACAAACAAAAAACAAACACAATATTCTGCTACACTTGTGTATCAGTATCTTGTCCAGGCATCATCAGAGAGGCTTCTTCCTTTGGCAGCAGATAGGAACTGACACAAAGACCCACAGCCAGACATTAGGCAGAGACAGTCGAACTTGGACTTTCCATCAAGTTTCCATCAAGTCCCTCAGAGATCAGGGAACCACGCATAAGAGTGAAAGGAAAGAAGGAAAGACAGTAGGAGTCAGAGGGGATGGAAGACACCAGGAGAACATGGCCTGTCAAATCAACAGATATACATCTGACAGAGGAAAAACATCTAGAATACAGAAGGAACTCAAAAATCAGCCATAAAAACAAATGGCCCGTTCAAAATAAGAGCAATGAATCTGAACAGATAGTTCTCAAAAAATATATAATAAAATAAAAAATGGATAAGAAATATCTTTTTCGAAAAAGGTTCATCATCCTTAGCAGTTAGGGAAATAAAAGTCAAACAACTTTGAAGTTTCATCTTTCCCCAGTCAGAAGTTAAGATCAAAAACCTCCCCCCTCCACACACACACACACACACACACACAAAACCAGACAACAAAT